CCCAAGTGCCCCGTGGAGGGTTCTTCCCATGGGTAGTGATGATGAAAACCATCTGTAGGAACGGGTTTGTGTGGATCACTGCTTCCCATGGGGACGTTTGTTGCTCGCAGCTCCATCTGGGGCCTGAAGTCAGAGGAATGGTGATGTTGGAGGGGAGTGCTGGGGGCACCTCCAGGTCTGCCAGGGCCAGGCTGGGGGCTGCGCCAGCGCTGGGCCGTCCTCGCGGTAAAGAACCATTTGATGTCTTCCTATGGAAAATCTTTCTTCTTTCCGTATTCTAAGTGTGCCCATTACTGCCCGTCCCCTCTGGGCACCACTTCCCCCTTCTTCATTCCCTTCCATCAGATATTTACACACTGAGAGCCCCCAGAGCCTTCCCCTGGCCGAGCAGCTCCAGCTTTCCCAGTGCCTCATCGCCATCACGGCCATCACATGTCCCAGTCCCTCATTGCCATCACAGCCCCCTCTTGCCTCTCCCAGAGCCCACATCCCTCTTGCAGTGGGGAGCCCAGCACTGCCCCAGGCTCTGGGTGAGCCCTCACCGGTGTGGGATTGGCTCCCTGAGCGGCCCCAGGAAACATTGCTGGCTCCTGGTCCTGCAGCACAGGGTTCTCCCACCCCCTCAGGTGCAGGATTTTGCTTTTCCCTTTGCTGGGCTTTCTGAGTTCTCTCCCAGCTCATTTCTCTGATCACTGCAGTCTTCACAGCTGTTTGGTGCATCTGCTCCTGCACCCTATTTGTAAACAAACTGCCGAGGGGATCCTTTTCCCCATCATCGCGGTAATTAAAGAGGACATTGGGAAGCCGCACCCACAGTTCTCCAGTGTGTGCTGCACACCGTGCTGCTGGCCCCGCTCCTGCAGCCCCACATCTCTGCACTGGGGGTCCTGGCTGTGTGCTCACCTCAGTCGCTCCCATTGCAGCCATGCATGCTGCCACGTTTCCCTGCCATTCAGCAGCAGTGTCCTTTTCCTGGTGACACGTGGCCCACGTGCTCTGACCTTTGCTTTGGAGGTTTCCTTCCCTTTCTCTTTCGCCCTTCCCTTTCGCCTTCTGTTTGCAGAGCCAGGTGAGGAGTTTCTAGCAGATCAAATCCCTCTGAAAGAAAGGAAAGCTGTAGAGGTGAGATGCCATCTGTGCGTGCACCGCCCTGTGCAGGGCGACTCAGCATCTCCAACTGCATTTAGGCAAAGAGAGAGGAGCAGTGCCTGCCTGCAGCCCACCCTGCCCATGGCCGTAACCTCTGGGCTCTCTGGGTGCTGCTGCAGAATCACAAGTGCAGCCCCACAGCTCAGTGACACTTTGGAGGTGCTCTTGGTGGGAGGAGAATCACAGAATCCTAGAATGATGTGGGTTGAAAAGGACAACAGTGACCATCCAGTTCCAACCTCCTGCTCTGTGCAGGGTCGCCAACCACCAGACCAGGCTGCCCAGAGCCACATCCAGCTTGGAGAATCCTTTGTGCAGTTTCGTGATGAGCACTGGAGATGTTTTGGAGGGAGGATGAGAATATTTGGGCACCAGAAGTGGTGAAAGCGAGAGCAAGTGGCAGAGTTCTCCTTGCAGCGACTGGAAGGCATTGCCTGTTGCTGGGTCTGGTTACTGCTGAAGGAACTGGGACTGAGATACCGAGATCAAAGAAAGGAGACTCAACCATCAGTGACGTTCAACAAAATCTGCCTTTTAATGCCTTGCATCAGAGTGTTCCCAAAGGGTTCAATTAGCGGCCAGGCAAACACAGCATCCCTCTTTGCTTGGTGAGAACACGCTTTCCTCGTGAGATGCTTCCCGTGAGAGCTGTTCCCTCTTCTTGCTGATTGCAGCCTGCACTGTGGGACATATGCTGGGTCCTGGGCTCCGTGCCGGGAGGCAGAGCTGTGACAGCCACCGTCCCCTTGCTGCTGTGGTCCTCCAAGGTGCAGCCAGAGCATCGCCGTGCGCGGGAGATGAAGAAAGCATTTCATTTTCCCTGCAAAGCTTCCAGGTTGCATTTACACGATGGTGCCCAAAGGAGCAGTGGGCAACACTGAAGAGACCTGGTAAAGACAAAGCCCTTGATAGCATCACCCTAAAACAGAGCAGCACCTTAAGATGGAGCAGCGCCCGAAGACAGAGCAGCGTTTGGCCTCAGCTTGGTCCTGGTTTGTCCATATGAGGATGTGCTCTGCAGAGCTTTTTCCTGACCCTGGAAGCCACTGGACAGCAAAGGAGCTCTGCTGACAGCTTGCAGCACAGCATGTTGCAGCTCTGCACCCTCACAGGCAGTGACAGCAGTGCTGAGGTCACTGCATCCGCACTGGCCAACCTTACCTGGCTCTGGGAAGAGGAGTGGCAGTGACACTGGAGCACAACTGACAGCAGTGTCTCACTGTGCCCATCTGTGGGGATTTCCAGATCCTCTGCAGGGATGCCACGTGCTTGTGAAGCCTTTCTGTTTGCAGCTGAAACTCGAAGAAGCTCAGGACAAATTGCAGCATTAGTGGGGCATGTCTCCCCTGTCCGAACTCCCATCCTCAGCTCCTGGATCCTCCCTGGCACAGCAATTCTTGTGGCAGAGCCTGAAAGCTCTCAGAATCTTTCAGGTGGAGAAGAGCTCTGAGACCCCCAGTCCAACCCCAGACCATCCCACCGTGCCCACTGCCCGCGTCCCCAAGTGCCACATCCCTGTGGTCACTGAACACCCCAGGGATGGGGACTTCCCACTGCCCTGGGCAGCTGTGCAGTGCTGACCGCTCTTTGCAGCACAGGTTGTTCCCAGTCTCCAACCTGACCCTCCCCATTGCACCCTGAGCCCATCCCCTCAACGCACAACACAGCGTGTTGCTGTCCTCTGAAATCCTCTCTGCAGCGGTCATCATTCATCTTGCATCGAGATTAATTCACATTTGGACACAGATTTTGGCTTGTTCTGCAAGTTCCATGGAAGATGAGCCCTCAGACCGTAACTAATTGCATCCCTCAGCAGCGAGGCTGTGGCGTTGTCGCATCGCATTGCTCCTGGCAGGCCGTAGCCCTGTCCTCATTCTGCATTTGGCACCAAAGTGCCTGCTGGGCTGCCAGCTTCCTGGGTAGTGCAGGTATGACAGCTGGGTGTCACCTGCTGCCTGGTGAGCATTCCTGCATATCATCCTCGTGCTCTCCAACTGCAGTCTCTCCTTTCCCAATCTCTGGGAGCATTCCCCTCTCTCCATCCCATCTTCGCCAGGCTGAGCAAGCTCTTGGCCACCAGCTGCCACTGCCTGCAGCCACTCCTCTTCACATTTACCTTTCTTGAACGTGAGGGACCCGAACTGTCCTCCAAATGCCAGCAGAGATGGCAAAAAAACGTTGTCTGCTGCGATGATGTGAGTGCACACGTAGGTCTTGTAGCACTCCTGCTGTGCCAGTGCCTCTGGGCTGTGCCAGCAGACCCAGAACTTTCTCTTCCTTCATCATTTCCTATGGATGGGCTCTGGCTGAAAGCAGAGATCCTTTGCCAGCCCCTGTGAGCTGCGTACCGTCCGTGTTCTGTTTCTCATACTGCAGTCCTCAAGGTCATTCCGTTGTTCCTCTTTCGTATTGACGGCGCTTCCCAAGTGTGACTCACCGTCACGCTCCTCCGTAACTCCTGCTTTCTGTGCCAAGGTGGGAAGAAGATCAGCACAAGAGGCAGCGTGGCTGAGCTCACGGGCTGCAGACGGCCCTTCCTATTCCTCTCAAGCTCATCTTCAGTTAGCACCTATAGGCCTCTCAGAACGCGGCTCTTACGCAGCATCTGCGTTGGTGGCTTTGGGCACTGCGTGCATTTCTGTTGCAGTCTGTTTGTTCCAGGAGGGGAAGGCAGAGCTGCAGGGTGCCGTGGTGCCCCAACTCCTTTCTGCCCTCCGTGGCTGGGCTGGAGGTTGGGTTGCCACCTGGCCAGAAGCAACGCACTCCTCTGGCTGCTTGTTGGCAAAGCACAGCCCGGTCAAAGAGTGGCAGTCAGGGCAGCTGGAGGCAGCACGGGGCAGAAGTGGCTGAGCTGGATGCTGGGTGCACAGAAGGACCGCACAGAGTCCCACGGCCCTGCTCAGCACCAAGGCCCTGATGGCCCCACAGGATTCCACCCCTGGGTTCCACGGGCTGAGGGGCTCGCTCTGGTCAGAGCACTCCAAGCAGTTGCTGTCTGGTGGTTTTTTGGTTCATTTATTTTCTCATTGGGAGCATCCTTGTTTATGCCAGGCGAGGTTTATAACAAGCAGGTGATGGCAGAAGGGAGGTGTTCTTGCAGCACCATTTGTCTCCTATCAGATCCTCCAGTCTGGTGCAGAGCAGACCTTGGCCGGTGCCCAGGGACACCGCGCATCCCTGGCGCTGCTGCAGAAGGAACTGGCCCAGCACCACACTGCCCACACACACAGCCCAGCAGGTCGGAGCATTTATGCTCGTGGGGGCAGAACAAGATGCAGACAGGTTAGGCCCCTCCCTGCCCTACACACAGCCCACAGCAGAGCTCAGCCCCATTCTGTGATGGTCAGCCCCTGCTGCCCCATGCCCGGAGCCTCGCACCGGAGCCTGGGGAGATGCTGGAAGTTCTACAGCTGGAGGTCCTCTCGTCCTACAGAGGGGCTCTGTCCCCGTGGCAGATGTGCTCAGGTGGTTGTGTGTTGCTCTGGCTGTGTCTGTCGCTCTGCCTTAGTGAGGGGAGGTGGTCCCAGCCGGAGGGGCAGGCGGCGGTGCGAGGTCCTCAGTGTGGCACTTCACAGTGAATCCGCAGAGGGCTGCAGGGCCAGGGCTGCTCCCAGGAAGGCTTTGGGTGTGCAGAGTGATGGCAGCATGGCTGAGATCTGGAGCTCCCGGAGAAAATTCCCACACCTCTTCTGCCTCCTCGGAGCAGACCTCGCAGGGCTTGCAGCAGGTCTTGGCCGGAGCTCCGAGCCGCGTCCCCGCGCGTTGTGTGTGTGCTCTGTGTCTGGGGACCTGGCCTCACCCCGCGCTCTGCTCTCTCTCCTCTCTCTCTCGCTGTACCGTTCTTTCTGCAGACTTTTCAGTAGTTTAGGAGAACTCAGCACCATTTCCCAGCGGAGCTCCGGGACCACCTACACGGTTCGACCTGGCAGTCGCTACCCCGTAACCCGACGTACCCCCAGCCCCGTGAAGCCGGCTCTGGATCGGACAGAGCCGCTCAGCACCGTGCGGCCCTACGGCCTGACCCCTCCCACCATCCTCAAATCTTCCAGCCTCTCCATCCCACATGAGCCCAAGGAGGTGCGCTTTGTGGTCAGGAGTGTGAGCGCCCGGAGCCGCTCCCCGTCCCCGTCCCCCTCGCCAGGGCCGCCCCTGCACACCCTCCACCCGCCGAGGCCCTTCATGCAGAAACCCCTCCACCTGTGGAACAAGTACGACGTTGGGGACTGGCTGGAAAGCATCAACTTGGTGGAGCACCGAGACAAGTTTGAGGACCATGAGATCGAGGGCACGCATCTGCCTGCCCTCACCAAGGAGGACTTTGTGGAGTTGGGGGTGACACGGGTCGGGCACCGGATGAACATCGAGCGGGCACTCAAGCAGCTGGTAGACAGCTGACCATGCTAGGCAGCGCCGGCCTCTTCCAGAGCCACCAACGGGGCGGGGGGACGTTTCTACCAGACTAATAAAACCCATTTTGATTCTCTTTCTACTCTGAGCACTGCACTGAAGGGTGCGGAGCCTGACGGCTCCCACCCGCTCCCAGGCGGCCCCGTGCCGCGCACGCGCAGCCCCGCTCAGCCCCGCCGGCCCCGCGACGCCTTCGGGAAAAGGAATGTTGCATGAAATACATCCTCTTTTCCGTCCCTCCCAGAGAGTCCGGCCTGTATATCGCTTGATGTGCTCTTGCCTGGGGGCGTCGCCGGTGGCCGGAAGGGCCGAGGAGCCACGTGCCGCCGTGCCATGGCTCTGTGCCTGGCCTGTGGCACGGTGACACCTGGCTGGGGCTGGGGGCCGACCCGCCGCCAGGCGAGGAGCCTGACCCTCCTGCAGGCATCTCGTGTGGCAGGTGGGAACGGGCCGGCCAGGCCCTGGGGTGTGCAGCACAGCCAGGCCCAGCAGTGCCGCCAGGCCCAGCAGTGTGGCTAAACCCAACGGTGCAGCCAGGCCCAGCGACATAGCTAGGCTGGGTGGCACAGCTAGGCCTGCAAGCACAGCTAGGCCTGGCAGTGCCTCTAGGCCTGGTGGTGTGGCTAGGCCCGGTGGCACAGCTAGGCCTCGTGGTGCACTTAGGCCCAGCAGTGCAACTAGGTCCAGTGACATGGCTGGGCCCAATGGCGCACCCAGGCCCAGTGGCATAGCGAGGCCTGGTGGCACAGTTAGGCCCAGCAGTACTGTTAGGCCTGGTGGCACAATTAGGCCCAGTGGCACGAGGCCTGGTGGCACAGTTAGGCCCAGCAGTACAGTTAGGCCTGGTGGCAGTTAGGCCCAGCAGTACGGTTAGGCCCGGTGGCTCAATTAGGCCCAGTGGCATGAGGCTTGGTGGCAAAGTTAGGCCCAGCAGTACTGTTAGGCCCAGTGGCACAATTAGGCCCAGTGGCACGAGGCCTGGTGGCAAAGTTAGGCCCAGTGGCACAGCAAGGCCTGGTGGCACAGTTAGGCCCAGCAGTATAGTTAGGCCTGGTGGCACAAGGCCTGGTGGCACAGTTAGGCCCAGCAGTACAGCTAGGCCTGGTGGCACAAGGCCTGGTGGCACAGTTAGGCCCAGCAGTACTGTTAGGCTTGGTGGCACATTTAGGCCCAGTGGCACGAGGCCTGGTGGCAAAGTTAGGCCCAGCAGTACTGTTAGGCCTGGTGGCACAACAAGGCCTATTGGCGCGGCTCGGCCCGGCGGTGCCGCCTGCTGCAGGAGGCAGGCAGGGTGCTGAGGGGGGGGAGCAGCCTCGGTGGCGGGGCGGCCCAGCGAGGGGTCCCGGTGCCGTGGAGGTGGCCGCCCCACTCCCGCCCCGCTCCCACCCCGCAGCCCCTGGTCCAGCTCTCCTGGCAGACCGGAGCCGTGCGAGAGAGGAGAGGGAGCGAAACCGCATGGATTGAAGCATGTTTGGGGGGTGTCGAGGGAGGCTGGTGGGGACCCAGCAGCAAACGCTTTGCCAACGGTGAGGGTGGGGGGTGGGGGGAGGTGTTTGGTTTCCTCTTGGTTTGGGGTCTTGTTTCCAAGGGGACGCGTTGATGGGTAATATTTAATCTCCGTGCATTTATATAGAGAGCAGCTGATGATCTACAAGAGACGATTCTGACCTACAGGATTCCCACTCTGTCCTTGTCATCCTTATTTTGCATCTTTTTAATCGATCAGCTATATATTTGAAAAGAGAGAACAAATATCTATATATCTATATCTATAGCTATAGCCACCTGATTTTGTTATAATTTTACTAAATCTATATATCTCTAGACTTGTTGAGATGCTGACGAGGCGGTGCCCGCACCCCTCCCCCAGGACGCCCATCGCTCATGGGAGTTTTTAGCGACTGACTGACTGAATGTTAAAAAAAAAAAAAAAAAAAAAAAAAAAAAAAAAAAAAAAGAAAGAGTCTTTTTAAAAAAAAAAACTTTAAAAAAAAAAAAAACCAACAGCTCCTTTCAGACACTCTGGATTTTAAAGATTTAGAAACACAAAGCAACGAAACCGCTCGGTTTTTGGGACACACCACGTCTTCCATCCCCGCAGGCAGAGGCAAACGCATGGAGGTGGAGAGCTTCCAGTCCCCGCTCCCGGATGCTGCTCTCCCTCCGGTGCCTGGGAACCCGCAGACCCACGGCCTGGGGCGGGCGGCCCCGGTGCTGGAGGGGCAGCAGCCCCATTCCCGTTCCCGCGCCCCATGCGCTCCCCTCGCCGGCATCGCGCGCCCAGGCTCAGGGGTGGCCAGGGGACGGCTTGGTGACTGGTGTTCCCCAAAAGCCGAGTCCCCCATGAAGGCATTAACTCTTCTGGTGCTAGAGGGAAGGACAAGGAGGTTCCTTCTGACCCTCACACATCTACGAACCTTTACAACCTTCAGCCAGTGGAAGGCCCAGGGCTGGGGCTGCGGCCCCTTCCCCTGCGCGCGGCCCCGGGCTGAGCCCCTCGGATGGGCCCCGGTGGCTGCGGTGCTGTCTCCTTACCCTGAGCTCTCGGCCTCTGAGGCTCCATCCAGAGCTCTCTGGAAACCACTGAATTCTGTGTATCCACAGCGCTTCTTCCCTCCCCAGGCGATGCCCCAGCACTTGCACGGGGAAGGTGAGGGGCTCCCAACCTGTACCTTCTTATTCTGCAAGCAAAAATCCCTCTGTAGATACCCGGGGTACTCCAGGCCTCCCACCTAATAACGGGGGAGCCAGGAGGCATCCCAGCTTTGACTGCAGCCATCGCGTCCACCCGAGGCCACCTCCTTGCTGGCCAGCTTTGCCACTGCGCCCGCCCTCCTGTGTGTGCCAACGCTGCGCTGTCGCGTGCCCACATCCTGCCCTGTGCCGTTATCACCTCCGGTCCCATCCAGCCCTGCCACCTCGCTCCCATCGCCCTCTGTACCCCACCACACTCCCCAGTCCCTCCTGGTGGTCTCTTTGCATTTTGACACAAGCATCGCATTGTCCCCATCCTTCATCCTCAGCCCCCTGCCCCCCATTACCTGCATTGCATCCCCTCTGCCCACCCTGGCATGAGCGAGCACCCTCTGAGTTACCAGAGTTTGTTGGCATGCTCGTGCACAGGGACGGTCCTGCACCACGGACGTGCAGCAGCCACGGCTGCTCCGCACTCCTCCATGCTCTGCTCCTGTCGTCACCTCCTGCTCTGCAGTGCCCGGATCTCAGAGCCGTGCCGTGAGCCAGGTGTGTTCCCTGCAACCCAAACCTTCCTTCATGCTGGTTCTGTTCCATCAGCCCACACCTGGCGAGGTGGCACGGCCGCATCCTGTGGGCGCTCCGCATCGCTGCATGTCCGCAGCCCTGTGCCCTGCAGGCTCTGCCACAAACCCTGCAGAACACTGGGATTTCTACAGACCTTCAGTCCACCCTCCTGTTCCTCACGCTGCTTCTGCAGGGCCGCCCCGCGGTGCTGTGGGACAGCCCATTTCCTGCACCGTGCCGTGGGGATCTGTGCTGTTGGTGCATCAGCCTCGTGCCCCACGCTGTCCTTTCCTGCTGCATGTCCCATGCTTGCCACTCATGCACTGCCCTGCATGCCGCAGCTCACCGTGCTGCAAACCTCTGCACCAATGCAGGTTCTGCCTAGGCTGCCCAGCTTGGTTCTGCAGCCCTGCACCTGCACCCTGCTCCCACCTCCTCCATCCCCATCCCTATTCCCATCCCTATTCCCATCCCTATTCCCATCCCTATTTCCATCCCCATCCCCATCTACAACCCTATTCCCATCCCCAACCGTATTCCCATCCCCATCCCCATCCCCACCTCCATCCCCATCCCCATCCCTATCCCCATTCCTAAACCCACCCCCATGTCCCTCTCCCCATTCCTGCAGGTAAAGCAGACCCCAGCAGCCCCCACCCCACAGAGCAGCGCAGTCCCGCTGCCCAGCATCCCCCCGGCACGGCCCTGAGCCCCCAGTGCTCGGTGCACAGGTTGGAGTGTTCCGTGTTGCCCTGAGTGCAGGCAGCTCCTCAGGCTCTGTCTGAGGAGTTCGGGTCTCTGCCCCTTCCGCAGCTGCTTCTGGGGTGACCCACAGAGACCCCGCCTGCAGCCGCCCCCCGCCACGAGGGGCCAGAAGACTGCAGAGCGAAACTTTTCTGCAGGACGTTCGGTCTGGGACCAGGAAGCTGGACGCCTTCTTGCCATTTCCAAAGAGCCTTCCTTGCCCCACTGCTGCCCCATCCTCCCACCAGGGCTGGAGATGGATGGTGGGCACACAGTTCTGCCCGGCGCCCGCGCCGCCGTGTGCCCCCCAGCTCCCACCGTGCCAAGCAGCTGCAGCCGTACCTGTGTTGGAAAACACTGGGTGACCACGGGGCAAAGCCCCACGGCACCACGGCTCGTCCCAGTCAGGAAAACACAAAAGAAGGCGACACCCAACCATGGCCGTGCCATCACCCCGTCCCCACGGCTGCTCAGGTCTGCACCAAACCCTGCACCTCTTCAGTGCCCATCTCCTCCTCAGCTGGATCTTCCCATCTCAGTGCCCTTCCCTTCTATTCCCACATCCACCCCAATCAGTGCCCATCCCTTCTATTCCCACATCCTCCCCTCTCAGTGCCCATCTCCTCCACATCCGCATCCTCCCATCTCAGTACCCATCCTTTCCACATCCTGCCATCTCAGTGCCCATCCCTTTCATGCCCACACCCTCCCATCTCAGTGCCCACCCCCCTCCACGGCCGGATGCACACGGAGCTCCATGAGTGTGGGCTCAGGGCTTTGGAGACGGCCCCGCACAGCTCCCCAGGAGCAGTGAGTGCGGATCGGCCCCAACAGCGGTCGCATCCCACCATCATTTCTGGTCCCACCCAGACAGAAGCGCACCGTCCCAGCTCATGCAGCTGCTGCTACTTAACCTTTTTTTTTTTTTTTTTTTTTCTCAGCTGAAGCAAAGAGGGTTTTTTTTCCCATGTGTAGATAGCTCTTTTCTGACTTTAGATCTACTCTGATGGCATTGGCATCTCCACCCCGAGCATCCCGGACCCAGTGAGACGCTTCGCTTTGACAAGCCATTCAGGAGGAGGCCGAGCGCGCGGCGCCCGCTGCCCTCACTGTGATGCTCATGGCTTCTCGACATTGGGTTACTTCTGTACAAAGGGAGACACTTCTTGGGGTTTTCTTTTTTTGGGGTTTTTTTTTTTTTTCTTTTTTTTTTTTTCCTGGCTTTGAAGGGAATTTTTAAGAAAAAAAAAAAAAAAAGTTGTTGGTATTTTTCCTTTGTCCAAACAAAATCCATCGATCCTCATTCTTCATAACCCCTCCTCTGTAACTCTGACGTTAGGAGAAAAGGAACCAAAACCCAACGCACTTTGTGGCTGATGGCCATGGGCAACCAAAGCCAGTGCACATCATTGCTGATGGCCGTGGGCAACCAAATCCAATGTGCTTTGTGCTTGATGGCTATGGGCAACCAAAGCCAATGCACATCATTGCTGATGGCCATGGGCAACTATAGCCAACATGCTTTTTGCTTGATGGCCATGGGCAACCAAAGCCAACGTGCTTTGTGCTTGATGGCCCTGGGCAAACAAAGCAATGTGCTTTGTGGTTGATGGCCATGGGCAACCAAAACCAACGTGCTTTGTGCTTGATGGCCATGGGCAACCAAAGCCAATGTGCTTTGTGCTTGATGGCCATGGGCAATTATAGCCATTGTGCTTTGTGCTTGATGGCCATGGGCAACCAAAGCCAATGTGCTTTGTGCTTGATGGCCATGGGCAACTATAGCCAACGTGCTTTGTGCTTGATGGCCATGGGCAATTATAGCCATTGTGCTTTGTGCTTGATGGCCATGGGCAATTATAGCCATTGTGCTTTGTGCTTGATGGCCATGGGCAAGCAAAGCCAACGCACATCATTGCTGATGGCCATGGGCAACCAAAGCCAATGTGCTTTGTGCTTGATGGCCATGGGCAACCAAAGCCAGTGTGCTTTGTGCTTGATGGCCATGGGCAACCAAAGCCAACGTGCTTTGTGCTTGATGGCCATGGGCAACCAAAGCCAACGTGCTTTGTGCTTGATGGCCATGGGCAACCAAATCCAATGTGCTTTGTGCTTGATGGCCATGGGCAACCAAAGCCAACACGCTTTGTTACCAATGGCCATGAGCTTTGGCAGCAGCACAGTGCGTCCCGGTTTTCTTCCTCCAGCACATGTGCATCCCCCATTGCTGGCATGCATGTAGACATGTGCGTATATCCCCCCACACACACACGGCCCCCGGGCACGTGCACACTCACAAGGACTCTGCATGTGCATCGACACGCTTGCACCTCGCACACGCGTGCGCGGAGCCGCAGGCCTCGTCCCACCACCACACTCGATCCCACCCGGACGAACTCACCTGTGGGTTTTTGTTCTGTTTTTAATTTTACAGGGTCAGTTTGACTTCACCCTTATTTTGTATGGATTTTCGGAGGAGATTTCTCCTTCTCCAGAGTCATGGAGGTGTGGCCATTCGCCTCCCGCCCTTGACGTTGTGATACACATACCCCACAGAGATCTATGTTTCTTATATTATATTATTATTATTATTATTATGTAATAAATTTATAAGAAAGCTTCGCTCTGTTCTCTGCTCTCTCTCTGTCCCCACACTGGACCCCTCCTCCCCTTCCTCAGATGAGGACCTGAGCTGCCATCACCGCATGGCTCTGGGGCTCTCGTGCACATCTCTACGGGCAGCACCGGGGTGTCACAGTGCCCACTGCTCACCCAATGTCTGCCCTACAGGATCAGGGGGTGCTGGGAGACCCCAGCATGTCGCCCCAATGCCCACCGCCACCGCTGCCCCTCCTCACACACAGCCATGCTGCCCTCCAGGCTGGCGCAGAGCTGGTGG